ACTCTTCTTTGGGATTTGAATGAAAGCGAAATTTTTGTATTTATTTTTGAGATTTTGTTGTGATGTTTATAAGATGAGGCATTTGTATGATTTACTGGCTATTAATTACACTGAAAGGTAACATGGGTCGAGTTTTTTTTTTGTTATTAATGGATAGAAAGGGTTGACGTTGAATGCTCTAAAGACGGAATTACTAAGAATTGCGGATTATTTTTTTGTTATTTTGAAGAAGTTTCGAGTTTGGGACTTTTTAAAGGTGGATAATCTCATTGGGTGTCATTTATTTCGTGGAATTAAGTTGGGATCAAGTTGTTGAGATGTTGAAATTATTGACAGGAGTAGATTGATTCTAATGAATTTGAATTTTAATTTTGATTCTAAGAATTGTCGAAGAATTTAAGAAGTTTCTCGCCAATTGTATAAAATAATTGTTTCATTCAAGAGCTAAAGCTCCATTCTATCAAATCATTAGCATATCTTGGCTAGAAATCCCTTACAAGCGTTTTAATCAATTTTTTTAATTGTAAGTTTGCATTAAGATTATCAAATTTGAAAGAATTTTTATTAAAACTGATTTATTCTAAACTTTTGAAGCAAAAACTTTTCGCAACAATCGAAACAGAATTTTTCTTTTTGCATCAATTAAACCAGAGCTTTTTGCATCAATTTAAGCAAAGCTTCTTGTATCAAATGAAGCAGAGCTTTTTGCATCAAATGAAGCAGAGATTTTTGCATCAAATGAAGCAGAGCTTTTTGCATCAAATAAAGCAGAGTTTTTTTAGATCAATTGAAGCAGAGCTTTAGCATCTCTTATTTTAAAAATTAAAGCCAAAAAAATAGTAGAACAAGAGTAAATATTTCAAGTCTCAAACCCAGCTGCTTGTTAAATATCTTAAAGTTCTTCTTAATATATCCTTCCAAATCTTCGAAACAATTATTTTTACAATCTCTTCTGAACTAAAATTTCGCGATCTAAAGCAAAACTAGTCCACATATTTCATCAGTAATCCTATTCCTGTCACCCATAATGATTTATTAGATCAACCTGACAAAAAACATACAAAGTATTTAACTAAACAAGAGAAAATTTGGCGTAAATTCTCTAAAACATCTAAAAAGATTATTCCATACATCTAGACTCTGCCAGCGACATATGATTGCATAAAAAGTGCTTAAAACTTAATTTTTTCTTCTCAGTGGCAGTGAAATTTTCAGACACAATCTGGCAACACCTGCCACAAAATTGAGAGAACTTTTCCTCTCGATTTCATCTTTTATTCCCTTTAAATTTGTGCTCACCACTTTTTTATTTTGTTATTTTTAACTAGAAAAAAAGAATTGCTGAGTAAAGTTGATGTACATTATTCTTAATTATTTCGTATGTATGTCGGGATGCGGAGAGAATTGTGAATACACATATAGCACTTTAGCCGCCACTTACTTAAACAAAAATTTTTTTTTTATTTTCCTGAGCAGTTCTTATTTTTATTTTTCAAACATAAGCTCGTTCAACCCGTTCGATCGTGTGTGACTTACTCTCTTAAATCCATAAGTGTGTTATTTACACAAACGCATTAACCTCCATGCACATCAACATCAATTATTCTCATTTTATTATCAAATAAATATTAATTATTGTCAATCTCTGGAGGACGGAAGAGTTGTGATACTTGTTATTTATTACTAGTGACGTTGACTCGTTTTGGATTGAGATGTGATCATGTGAATCTCTTAATTTTGTTTTTGAAGATTCTGGGAGTTAGGTTAAGTGATGAAATGTAGTACTACTAGATTTTTCGAGAGATTCAACTTAACTTAACTTTAGAACTCGATTCTTAAGTTTAAGACTAGATTCTTAACTTTTGGTCTAGATTTTTTAACTTTGGACTAGATTCTTTACTTTAGATCTGGATTCTTAACTTTAGGACTAGCTTTTTAACTTTAGGAATAGATTTTGAACTTTTGGACTAGATTTTCAACTTCTGGACTAGATTATTACTTTAGGACTAGATTCTTAACTTTAGGACTAGATTCTTAACTTTAGGACTAGATTCTCAACTTCTGGACTAAATTCTTAACTTTAGGACTAGCTTTTTAACTTTAGGACTAGCCTTTTAACTTTAGGAAGAGATTCTAAACTTTTGGACTAGATTCTTAATTTTAGGACTCGATTCTCAAATTCAAGACTAGATTCTTAACTTCAACACTAGATTTTCAAACAATATAAAGACATGTCTTTAAGACTAGATTTTTTAGCAATCTACTTTAGTACTTGACTATTAATCTAGCTATTCAGGACTAGATTTTTAAATTCCAACCCAAGTTTGCAATTTATTAAACCTAAAATCTTTTAAATTTACTAAATTCTCATAACTTCATTCTCAAAAACAGCCTTCAATCTTCTTCAAAATCGATAAGTCAACCTTTCATCTAATACTATATAACAAACCGCAATAAAATACCAAAAAGAAAATCGAGAGAGAGAATTTTTCTCGTTCTAAAAGAAAGCAAAAAGTAGAAAATTTTTGTAGAGCACACACAGAAGAGATCCCACGACGTGCGTGAATATTTATTATGTTTCTAATTATAACACAACAAGAGTAAAAGAAGAGGATCGTCTTTATTTTTTTATTTTTTTGTTAAGCCACAGCCAGAGACAAACTTCAGTCTCTCGGCATTTTCTCGATAGTCAAAATCAAAATAAGTAACAAAATTTTCCGATACGATTAAGTAATTTATTTATCGCAGGATATCAGCGATAGAAGTAAGAGTGTAGATAATAGTAAATATCGGGTCAACTGCGATCAGTGCCATAAGTGAATTTCAATTGACTGAAGAAAAGAAAGAAAAGAAAAAGAAGAGGAAATGAGGCAAAGAAATGCTTCGAGAAAAAGAAATGTGTGAAATTTTGTAGGTCACGGTCAATTCTTCACAATTATAGTCAACTAAATGAGTGACTCGATAGACGGATTAATTAAAAGCCTCTTTTATTTTCTTTCTTTTTTTTGAAATAATAAGACTTAAAAAGAAATATTTTCAAATTTGTGTCGAAAGGTGAAAACCGATCATTTCATCTTCTGTCTACCTAATCTTCTCTCTCTTTGCTATTCCTACCCAAATTTTAGCCATTTGAAAAGGAATTAACCATTAAACGACTTTATTGGGGATTTATAGTCGGTGTGCAATATACAAACGTTAGGTCATAACTTTCGTGAATTCTCTTTTGATTTGAACTTCACAATCATTATACGGTGAATAACAAATAATCCTCTAATTCTTTTGATATAAATTATGAATGATAGACATTGAGACTATAGAAAATTTATGAACAAAAAAATATAATAATAAAAAAATTTAACTAATTGATTTATTATTATGAAGAGAAATGCAGAGATTAATGATGCCGAAGCCTCAAATTTGCATGTATATGAATTATGGCTGTAAAAAGATTTCAAACGGTTTTATAGGACTCTAAAATTTAAATCTTAAACTGTTTTATAAATTTTATTACTTTGGTTCTATAAAATGTTGTAAAATTATCACAGCGGTTCTGTAAGAGAAATTGGTCATTAATGGGTTTTTTGATTTTTTTACAAGTTTATGTTGTAACGGCTTCTTTTTCAATTTGCGAAATTTAACTATCAATTAATTTTAAAATATTAATGGATTTTAATAGTTATAAAAGTTCTTAAACTATTTAATGGTTCTTGTAAAATTCAAGAGGATATAACTGTTTTGTAAAATTCAAATCTTACTGTCGGTTTTTGTAAAGTTCAAAACTATTTAACGATTTTTTTAAAGTTCAAAAATCATTTTATGGTTCTTGTAAAGTTCAAAACTATTTATTGGTTTCTTAGCATTCAAATCTTATTATCGGTTCCTGTAAGGTTCAAAACTATTTAATGGTTTTGTAAAGCTTAAAACTATTTAAGGGTTTTGTAAAATTCAAATCCTTTTACAAAACAAAAAAATCCAATTTGTTACAAACAATAAAATTTGTACGACCAAAAAAAATGTTAATGAATGCATTTAAAACCAAGGAAGCAAAAGTGAAGACACAACAGTCTGTGATTTAAGTAATTATACTCATCAGACAATGTCTATGCAAAGAAATCATTCGTCTCGATGATTGCGGGAGGTCAAAATGAGATTTCAGTAAGGAAAAATGAATGAATGAATGAAAAGAAACTAATTTATCATAATTTGAACTGCTTAGCCGATCATTTCATGCTATTGTGCTTCCAATAAGTCATTTATCATGCAGATAAATTCTCTGGACGAAAAGAGAATTTGCTTACATCAAAATATTCGTATATCCTAACATGATTAATATATTCACTCGCGTAGATTCATTCTATTTTTGATATTTCATCACCATTATTTTCTCGCGCATTTTACAAAGAGAGAGGCTATAAAAGACTTAATAATACTTAGTTCCAATCGCTACATGCGAAAAAATTTTTGTTTCTTTTTTGACGATGAAAAAAAAATTCTTTGTAAAATGAAAAATCATTCATAGAAAAAAAAGCTAGTAAGGAAGAGAAGAGAAGAAGATTGAAGGACAAGAAAATGAGAAGATGAGAGCATTCACATGATCCATAATCATTAACATTACTTGAGACACAGAGAATATTTCTTAAAAATAATCATTTTTTTGTAAGTGAGTAAATGAGCATAAGAGAACAGCAGAGATTCTCTGAGTGACGTTCGTGAAAATATTCTTTTTCGGATGTGATCAGTGGAGATCCACAATCATCGTAAAATACAAACGCTTGTATCACGGGAATGATTGTGGAGGTGCTCGGTGTGTGAGGGAGTCAAGTTTATATAAATGTGAAAAAAAAGAGCATATGAAGTGCACATGAATTTGTGATCATTTTTTTTGATCATCGCGCTTGTGAAACTTTTCCACCTTCAAAAAAAAAAAAAAGAAATAAAATTTTTCATATACACAACAAGAAATTTTCCTACGTGAAATAAAAAGAAGTGAAAAAAAAAAGATGGCAAGTAGCACACAGAGACGTCAACAACGATATGTGCGGAGCTCAACTACAGCAAGCGTAACTCAGCTCCTGTCTGACAGTTACAATAATATTCTGCAACGATTTCGACGTCCGCCTAGTGAAAAATATAGTACGGCTGATAAATTATCATTGACATCGAATCGGTAATAATGTGAATATTTGAGTATATCTCGAACTAAAGGCAATTGTGATGATGATTGAATTGCATCTGACATAAAAAAAGAAAGAAATAGTTATTGTCGACATAAATTTCATTTTTAATTGAGTCTGTGCTTAATTAGAGAAATTATTTTTACTTCGAATGTGAAAAAATAAGAAAAGAAAATTCTTTTAATTAAAATCGCCTTATATATTGAAAAATAACAGGAAAGAGTAGTCGATTCCCGAAAAAAAAAACTATGTAAATTGAGTGATGATTGAGTTAAAAAATATAATTAACTAAAGTATGAGCAAATGTGTAATGTTTAAACAAAATAAGCACGAACGAGTCATAAAAATCTGTTTAGTCATTATGATGAGATGAAATGGAAGTCATTCATGAGTTATGGTCGAACTTAAATGTAGTTTTTCTGACTTTTTACATTTTAACGGATTTTTGAGATTTGAAATTCAGTGAAGTTTAATTGAAGTTCAAAAAAATTTGTTAAAATTTGAAAAGAAATTCAAAAAAGTCCGTTAAAGTTTAAATTACAAAAATTCAAAAAAAATCCGTGAGAAATTAAATTTAAGTTCAAAAAAATTCAGTTAAAATTTGAATTAAAGTTCAAAAAAACCCGGTAAAATTTAATTTACAGTTCAAAAAATCAGTAGAAAGTTAAATTTAAGTTCAAAAAGTCTGATAAAATTCAAATTCAAGTTGAAGAGCTTCAAAAAAATTATTAAATAATTGCGTACCACATCAATCCAATCTTACAATCGTTAGACATAACATTTGATCGCCTCCACAACAAATCGATTCTCAATTTCCCCAACCACAATTGCTACTTACTTTCCTCTTTTGTCATGAATCTTGAATTTTTAGAACTTGTGTGTCGTGTTTATGCTTCTCAATAAATAAAATGTTTCATGTGTTAGGTCATTTAAATAAAAACGAAAAGAAATAAGTTAAGTTTAAATTGATATAGCAATTTTTCTAAAAATAGGAACTAAAATTTTTTTCTCCTCACTTTTTTTTATATTCCTTCAAAAAAAAAGTGTAAATTGGCTTCATCTTTAAAATGAAAACGATTTATTTTATAAATAAAAGCGCAAAAGAGACATAAAAAATTATTACTATAGCTCATAGTACGAAAATTATTATCTCTATAAAGTTTTCATCCATGCAATACTTGTAAAGTGCGATTGTAAGGGAAAATTTTAATGAGTCGAGAGTCAAATTTCGTGAAATTACTCATTCTTATTTCTGTTGATGTAAGGAATTCGAGTTATGTGGCCTTGACTTTAATCCAATTGAGGGCATTAATTCTTGCATTTCTTGCTTAAAATTCATTTTATTTTTATTTGTAGGATTAATGGTTTGTTATCTTCTTTGTGAGCTTAGTAAGGTTTTGTTTTACTTTGTTTATTATAGTTTTAAACAATTTCTTTGTGATTTGTTTATTGTTGAATCAGCGAACTGAAATTTAAAAGAATGAATAAAGTTAAAAATTCATAATTTTACAGACTTTTTTGAACTTTAATCAGAGTTTGAAAATAAAATGAAAATTGCTCTATTTTGAAAATAAATCAAAATGAAAATTATGAAAATTGCCAATTTTGATCAAAGCAATTTTGCAATTTTGTCAATTTCAGAAAATTGCAATTTTGGAAATTGTTTATTTTCCAAAATTGCAATTTTCGAAATTATCAATTTTTATTTTTGTGACGTCATAAATATTTGATGAATAATTTTGTATGAAAATTTTCTTCTTTTTAAATGAATTTTTTCTTCAGAAAAACAAAAGATACAGTTTATTTCCTGGATGTTGATATTCGTTTTTAACTTAATACTTGCTAATTCCTGCGTGTTTGATGCGTTGTTCCTTTAAGTTTATTTTAAATTAAAGGTACTCATAATGCTCATTATCATAATTATGATTATGATTATGAGTACCTTTAATTTAAAATAAACTTAAAGGAACAACGCATCAAACACGCAGGAATTACCAAGTATTAAGTTAAAAACGAATATCAACATCCAGGAAATAAACTGTATCTTTTGTTTTTCTGAAGAAAAAATTCATTTAAAAAGAAGAAAATTTTCATACAAAATTATTCATCAAATATTTATGACGTCACAAAAATAAAAATTGATAATTTCGAAAATTGCAATTTTGGAAAATAAACAATTTCCAAAATTGCAATTTTCTGAAATTGACAAAATTGCAAAATTGCTTTGATCAAAATTGGCAATTTTCATAATTTTCATTTTGATTTATTTTCAAAATAGAGCAATTTTCATTTTATTTTCAAACTCTGACTTTAATTCATAATTTAACAGATTTTTTTGAACTTTAATTCAACATTTAACAGACTTTTATGAACTTTGGTTAAAAATTCAAATCTTAAGAGCCCGTTAAAATTTCAATTCTCTTATTTCCGTTAAAAACTTAAAATCCACTCAATTCTCGATTTTTCCCTGCCTAATCTCAAATCTACTAAGTTGCTCATACGAAAAGAGTCAGCGAAAAATTAAGCTTACAACGCAATTCCCTAAAGAATCTTTAATTTGCGAACTATATGTAATCTATCTCTCGTCTACAATAAACATGAAGTAATTTTTATTGTAAATAGGATGTAAAGCCAAACCCAAAAATCTCATTAATTGTTCATTACCGTGCAAAATTCTTCAAAAATTGATTTTCATTTTGAAAATAATTTCCCTATGAACAAGAGAGTCTCAAGCTTGAGAGAGAAAAGATATTTTTTTCACACGATCCAACAAAAAAAAAGATGAAAATTTTCATATTTGCGTCCACTTTTGCGAGAATTTTGTGACTAAGAAAAAACAGTCTATTAATTTTATGATAGGTACAAGGGGAAACAACGTGATCAGCTTGGCAAATACGGCAAGAAATTGTGTAAATAAAGAAATTAAATGAAAGACCTGCGTGGGCGGGAAAGAAAAAAGGAAATGGAATTGAATTTCTTCATTCCTGGGCTGAGGTTGATTTCTTTATTGTCGCGTGCAATGCCAATGCAATATCGCATTGTCATCATCATCATAATCGCCCTGACGTTCACATGATAATCGTCAATATATTAACCAAAACACGACAACAAAAGAGAGAAGCAGCCTTTTTGTCTGGTCTCTTCCTGATTGTGATTCATGCCATATTTAAAACTAAATTGAATCTCATATATTATTGCTTAGCGTCCGACTTAATGAGCATCATCATCTGAACGGCAATAGCAGCAGCACAAGTCTAAATGACATTGATAATTCACTTTTGAATAGTAGTGAAAGCAATAGAGGAACAAAAACAATGAAATCAAGTCATTCAACAGTCACCGATTATGGACATATGAGCAGTTCAGACAATATACCTGGAAGATTCTCGTCAGCACTGAATCGTATTAAATATAGCTATGACTATAAGCCTCTCATGCGTACAATTACACGGCGATTTGACTCACCTACAAAAGTACTTGTCATATTCTGCATCTTAATTAAGTTGTAAACCAATGGAAGACAACAGTATAATTGATAATTTGTTTTGTTATCCACTTCAGGTTTTTGACCTTAAAAATTAGCTTCAATTCTCTTTTATTTGTGGTTTAAATGATTGCAAACTGCTTAAAAACTGTGAGCAAAGATGTTTTGATTGCATTTTGCTGTCTATATGCTTTTAATTGTCTAAATTTTCAATTTCAATTACTCAAATTCTTTTTGTAAACAAACCTGCTATAAAGTGCGGGAAAATTTCAAAATTTCAAAAATTAACGATTTTCTAGTTGTCTTCCATTGAATTGTAAGGAACTGAATTAACAATAAACACTTTTTGTAGAGTATTCCGGAAGAGACAGGATCACCATACCAACCATCATCATCATCGTCGTCGTCATTAACAGCAACAAAAGACAAGGAAAAGACACCGATAATTGGTGATAAGTCTCAAAATGTCATAACGCGTTTAGAGTCTAAATACTCAGACATTCTTGATCGTGTCGCAAAGCGTAAAGAGAAGCAACGACAAGAGCAACTTCAGAATGATGATCGAGATAAGACACTTGAACCCGTTGTGAGAAAAGCGAATCCGCTTATGAAAAGTGCAACAACTTCAAGTGTTTCAAAATCAACATACTCAAGTGCTGCTAGTTCATCGCAGAAAGAACGAACGCCATTTAAAATGGAAAGAAATAAGCATAGATACCATAATTATGATACAATGGATTCATTGACTAATGGCAGTTCCAGCACTTCCTCATCGTCTTCAACAAATAGTTCAAAAGTAAAACGATCAGACATTCTTGGCAGTACGAGTAACGATGATTATCCATCATATTCGAAACTTAAATCACATGATAGTGGATATTATGATGGAAGTTATTACAAGTCAAAGTATGAGGATTTATTGACAGATGTCTCTAATAATCGTCATACACCGAAAAAAGTCACAATGCCTTACACGGGCTCATCAACATCAAGACAATTGAAGCCATACAAAAGAACTGACAGTACAAGTAATGATAAGCATCGTACAGCAATCAATCTATATGACTTACTGGATAATGATGAAAGTTCAACGTCCACACAAAAGCAACAACCAGCACAGCCGCAAACATCGACAACGCAAGTCAATGGAAGTTATCGGCGGCAATATTCTCAAAGGAAAAGTGCGGGACAGTCACTTAGAACAGCACATGATAATCATTTATCGACAACTGACGATTCAAGCGATGATTATTCGGATTTTGAGAAAACTGAGCGCGAGAATCGTAGGAAAGAAATTCAAAGTCTGATAATGAAATATGCACAACTTGATGATTTTTATAGTAAGTCCTCCAACCTTAATGGTGATTCTGATGCTAAGAAAAAAGATCATAATAATAACAATAATGATTTATGGGATACAAAGGCACAATCGCCTGTTGTCATACCAATGAAACCATCAAGTAGTAAGCAACAAGCATCAACTTCAAAAGTTAATGGTAGTGGTGGCTTCAATGCACTCGGAAAATCACAAACAACGGCAAATATTCCACATTATCAAAGTAATTATGATTACAATGATTTGAGCTGGTATGGAAGTAATTACAGTAATAGTAGTAAAAATAAAGGCAGCAATGTTGTACCAATAACGACTTATGCACAAAAATCCTCGTCTAGATCGCGAATGACTAAAGCATTATCAACATTTGTAAGAATTATAACTTTATCGCAATGAATAATGTTGAAGAGAATTCCGTTGAATTATTAATTTAATTGTGACTTGTTTTCTTACCTATCGACTGCTAAGTCGACTTGCGAAATGCTTATTTGGGATTTTGATATTTGTTTCAAGTTTTCTCAATGCATTATGGGAGACTTGCTTGTTGTGTGGTGTAATATTTTTGGTGCTGTTGTTGACTTCATACTAATAAGGCGCATTTTATTCTGAAATCATAAAAAATGTTAAGGGGCTGTTCACTTATTACGTAACGCGAAAAAATGACTTCTTAGACCCCCCCCCCTCGTAACAAAATTTGTATGAAAAAAAAATTTCCTTGTTTGAATCGTAACAAAATCTTAGACCCCCCCTCCCCCTAAAAGCGTTACGTAATAAGTGAATGGCCCCTAAATGAAAAACTTACAAATTTTCAACGGCTTTTTGATATTTGAATTTTAACTGTATTTAAAAATTTAAACTGTTTAAAGTGATGCGAAAATTTAAATATTTTAAAACCGTTAAAATTTGAATATGCAAACACCGGTAAACTCTTCACTTTATTTAAATTTCATAATTCTCGTCCATAAACAAGCCAAACTGCCTCACAAAACCCATTCATAAAGAATAAGAGTTTGCACAAAAATCATTGAGCATGTACAAATTGTGTCTTACTAACAAAATTGAACTGTGTAGCCGCTTTTAAATTAATATGATAGCATGAACTTCAGTGGCTAGTCCGATTAGTCACAGCTCGTTTTTGAGCAAAATACTTTCATAAATGTTTCAGCCACTTCTTTTGTGTGCCATGATTTAAAAAACAAATATATTTTAAACTTGAACATTATTTTAAGTCTTACCTACCTCAAGCAGTAACAGTTGGATGTTAATAATCAGTATGAATGTGTCAATATTAACATTTTGAGTTATTAAAAAGAAGCTTCAATGAATTTTATCATTGTTTTCTGGGCAATAATTCGTAAATAGATTGAAGCTGTTGTTCATAATGGTTTATGGATGTTGGAGTGCCAAATTTGATTTAATCCTAAAGTTAAGGACGTGTTTGAAGAGATTATATAGTTTTGGATATGTTAATCTTTGAGAATCGGATCCGTTTTGTTCAAGGATGAATTGCAATCACTGGATCTTTGAGTTTTGAAAAGATACAGAAGCTAGCAATGAGTTTGAATAGATTTTGAGTTTAAAAAGCAACAAACATTAGATTTGCTGACTAGTCTATGAACATACTCGAATATATTCTTGGATTTACTCTAATTGATCCAATTCTACATAAAATTGATAGTAAACATCCAGGACATCCATTATTATTACAAGATCTATTACAAAACCCTTATCTTTCCACAAATCGATCAAAAACAATGAAAATGTGACATTAATAACATCCCAAATACCATGTGCTTATCAATAAAGTCTTATTTACATACTTGGAAAATGCCTTAATAGATAAACACGAAGCAACAATTCAACAGACTTTAATTTTTATTGACTCACATGCCTTAAAACCATTAAAAAATTTAATCATCATCGTAAAGTTTATGTGATGGGTTCTCTATGTACTTTACAATAGAAACTTGTGTACATATGAAACATTGTTTCCAATTCCCTATTATTGAGGGTTGTACTTAAATGATGCTGTCAAAATGTGGTTTACTATTTAATCGTAAACGGTTTTTTAAAAATTAAATTTAAACTCCTTTTAAAAATTTGAATTTTTTGCATCTTTTGGAAATTCAAATTTTTGGAAACTGTTACAATTCAAATGTTTGAAAACCGTTAACATTAAAAATATTCACATTTTTTGTTCAGACGTCTTTTATGAAAACACCTTTCATATAAAGTAATTTGTTTACCAACTTATCATCATAATCGGATGATAAAAATCACATTAACAATTAAAACTTTATCAAAATAAATAAAATAGCAGGGTGTAGACGTAAATGAAGCTATTAAAATTCAATTGAATAAGTCATCATTATCTTGTAGTAATTAACAAGTTTTTCAATTATTGACTCAATTTATAATTGGAAAGAAATCTTCACTTTGTGTTTTGTTTTGCGATTTCCCCATCGACTAACGTGCTGTTTTATACTTAACATGCGTAATCATTAAATGCTTCCACTTGAACAATAAAATAAATATTAAGTTAATGAAAAAAGCATTTTCTCATTCATATAATTATTTATTATTAAATATAGAGAGCTCCATCAGTACGTGATGATGCAGATGGACATTTGATCTATCATGCTGGTGATATGATACAGAATCGTTACAAAATCTTAGCGACGCTTGGCGAGGGAACGTTTGGACGTGTTGTTAAAGTTAAGGATAGTGAATCGTAAGTTGATGCTTTAATTTTATTTAATTGCATAGATTGTAAAATTTTATTGACTGGATTTGTGTTTTGGTGTCTCGGCTATAAATTGGAAATTAAAACATATTTTCAGTCTAGTTTATAGTGAAATTATGATGCTGAATTGAGAATGTGCTGGATATTTTTATTTCTTTTTAATCTGGATTGAATTTTTATTAGATTTACTGATCTGAATATTACAATGTTAAGCTTAGAAATATTTAGAATGTTAAACTCTAGCTTAGACACAGTTCAGCATCTTGTTTAAATTTTTCGCATCTTTGAAATTCCGTTAAAATTTCAACAAGGTTAGCAAAGGCACCGAATTAAAGTTTTTAACAGTTAAGTTTTAGTAAAAGCACATTTTCGCATCTCCCTTCCATGATTCGAACCCACTTCATTTAAATCCATAAAACCCGTTAAAAATCATGTTGATCTCAATTTCTTATCAATCCAGATCAAAATTCACAACGATCATCTCCTTTTGTTTGTCACGTTGTATTTTAACGATTTTTAAATGAGAATCATATGATATGAAAATGAAGAACCGTTTCGTGTGTGTAATAAAAGACAAGAATCTGGTTAATTCCGCTCACAGCTTCTTTACTCATCGCCATTATGGTTATTATTATTGTTTTATATCTAAAAAGGCCAATTAATGTGAAGTGAGTCGCATGCATGATATTGCACAAGAGAGTCGGTATATACACTTGATTGCACTGCTATAGCGGCATCATTGCAATTAACCTTAATGCGTTATGATTTTACAATTAATAAATTTTTCATTGCCAATTTCAGTGATCAAACGATGGCTCTGAAAGTCATTAAGAATGTAGAAAAATATCGTGAAGCTGCCAAATTAGAGATAAATGCACTGGAAAAGTTGGCTGAGAAGAATGCTACAGAACAGTAAGTATCACATGACCTACCATAACATACAAATTCTTTTACGTAATTAATCAGACTTAATGACCTACTACTTACGATTCTTATTGTCTATTTTCATCTTTTCTCTCTCTTTTCTTTACAGTTTATGTGTTAAAATTCTCGATTGGTTCGATTATCATGGCCATTACTGCATTGCCTTTGAAATGCTGGGCTTGAGCGTTTTCGACTTTTTGGTAAGCATCCAAAAAAATTGTCTTTTATGTTTAAATTTATTTTTAGCGCATTCTTTTCAAGTAGAATTGTATTAACTTTTTGGTTGGTGATGGATGACTTTTTGGTTCGATAAATGAGTCTAAATACATGGTTGACTATTTAAATGAGATGTGTTAAGTGATATTTTGGCTTTAAAATTGTTTACTAGATCTTGTTTCATGATGATTTATGATAAATCCATGCTTGGAATGTTGCTCTGCTGAGGGTTGAGTCAGTATATGACGTAAACTACTTTGCATCTTTTTATGATCAAGAAAAATTAAGCAAAATTTTTTGCATCTTTTTTTAAAACCTTGAAAATTTATCAAACATCTTTTGATTCATTCTTGGGTTTCAAAAAATTGACGCAGAACATTCAGCTTCATTTTTGTGTTTCAAAAAATTGACGCAAAACTTTCTGCTTCATTTTTGTGTTTCAAAATATTGACGCGAACCATTTTGCTTCTTATTTGTGTTCAGAAAAATTGACGCAGAAATTTCTGCTTCATTTTTGTGTTTTAAAAAATTGATGCAGAATTTTATGCTTTAATTTTGATTCCCAAAAATTGATGCAGAATTTTATGCTTCAATTTTGAATCCCAAAAATTGATGCAGTTCTTTTTGCATCATTACTTGTATCATAATTGAACTTCGACACCAAAAAGTTTCTTAACTACGTCAAAGTCAATCACCTCTAAATGTCATTCCCACTTTTATTCCCACTGCTGCAATCAACAAAACAAAAAAAAAACACATTCGAAATATAAATCATCCCAAATATTTTCGTTCATCCTCTTTTTGTTTTTCTCAATTAAAATTTCTTATACTTTTCTTATTTTTGCAGAGAGAAAATAACTATGAGCCATATCCAATGGATACTGTGCGTCATATTTCATATCAATTGTGCTATGCAGTGAAATTTCTTCATGAAAATAAATTAACTCACACAGATTTGAAGCCAGAAAATATTTTATTTATGAGTTCTGATTACTCGACGTCCTTCCATGCCAGAAAGGTAAGAGAACATGATTACCTGCTGTCAAGTTTACAGCATTAAAAACTAATGTAATTTTCTTGTAATTCACTACAGAACCGCGAAATTCGCCGTGTTAAGAACACCGATATTAGATTAATTGATTTTGGTAGTGCAACGTTTGATCATGAACATCATAGTACGATCGTGTCTACAAGGCATTATCGTGCACCAGAAGTTATACTTGAATTAGGTTGGGCACAGCCATGTGATGTATGGAGTATTGGCTGTATTATGTTTGAATTATATCTCGGAATTACGCTCTTTCAAACGCATGATAATCGCGAACATCTTGCAATGATGGAGAGAATTCTAGGAACGATTCCATACAGAATGGCTAGGTAAGTCAATTACATTATTGCATTCTTACTGTAAAATGTTTATTAATTGCCATGTCTATCCATAGAAAAACAAAAACGAAATATTTCTATCATGGTAAATTGGACTGGGACGATAAATCATCAGCTGGACGTTATGTGAGAGATCATTGTAAGCCACTTCATCGATATGTTATGTCTGAAACACCTGATCATCTGCAATTGTTCGATTTGATTCGAAAAATGTTGGATTATGATCCCGCAACTAGAATTACCTTAGGTAAGTGATTTGTCTTGGTTAAATCTGAGAGATTCAAGCTTAGTTCGAAGGATTGAAACTAAATCTGAAGAATTCAAGCTTAATTTGAATGATTCGAGTTTATATTGAAAGATTGAAGCTTATTTGGAAGGATTCAAGTGGAATTTGAAACAGTCAAGCTTAATTCAAAACATTCAAGTTCAATCTTGAAGACTTAAGTCTTATCTACAATATCAAACCCAAATCTAATCAAAAGTAGCCAAATCTCAATTCTAATGACATTAACCTCCTTAATTTTATTCCAGATCAAGCTCTACGTCATCCATACTTCGGAAGACTTCCGCCCCATCAAAAGTTACACGACAAAAGTAATGAAAACTCAATGTCAAGTAGTCCTGACAGTTCACCACATAGTTTATCAAGATGAATTTAACACAACCATAAACCTGCACGCACACACACATTAATAATTTAAAAAAATGAATCAAAAAGAAAATAACAACTTATTTTTAAACAAAAAAATTATTAATTAACTTATAAACTGAATTCAATGCATTGCCTCTTAAAGAGAATTATCGTAGTCGATTCATACTGTTCATTTCATAGATTATTTAAGTTCTTACAGGATCCATTAAACCACCTTAATTATATCTCTTATTATTATTATTTCTTGACTCATTTTAGAGAAGAACATTTAAGTCAGACAACATAATTTATTATTTTTTACTCACTGATGCTCATAATTATTATCATTTTTTTATCAACTTATTTATATCCACCCCATAAAGATTAGGTAAATGCTCAATATCATCAAATTTTTATGTCTAGTGATTATTAAAACTTGAGTCATTTTTTTTATGCGTTGTAAGAATCAATTTTAAAAGTTTTGTGACATCTTATTTTGAAATTGAGGCAAGAATTCTTTGAAAAGATTTTTATATGGTCATCTAGCATGTTTGGAACTGATTAAAATTCATTATTTATTTATTTTTTTGGAATTTTGGAATGTTAAAGTTTTTGAAATTCTGATATTTTGGCTATAAAATTTAAGAGATCGTTGAAGATTTTTTTTAATATGAATTTCTTGCCTTGAATTTAGATTAGTAAGATTCCCATGCCAATACGTACAACAACTTGCAATAATGATGTGAAGCTTACGTAATAGTTGACTAGGTTCAAGTTAAGTGAAATTAACTTATACGCAACAAAAACGTACGTCATAAGATGTTACGTAAACTTACGTAAGTCATTACGTAAACTTACGTACGATAATGAGTCGCTTTTAAACGAGAGTTTGGAATTGATTTACTTACTTTTGGTGAAACCCAATTCTAAGCACAAATACGTAAGCAAGTTGCATTGTACGTACAAGTCATTACGTTTTAATCTTAACTTAGTGTTCTATGTGCAAAGATTGAGTTAAAATCAAGGGCAATAAGATGTTTTTGATAAACTAGTTGGAAAATTGTCATTGGAACTTAATTATTGAGGGTTATGTCTAGTTTTAAGTCAAGAAAAGAAAGTATTCAGCTAATTTGTCTAGTTTGATAGCTTTAGTAATAAAAGAATCAAAAATTGTTTGTTTTTTTAAAGTTTTGAAGCAAGTCTAGCAAAGATTTGAGTCGATTCTAACAAGATTAGTCTAGAAAACCAATAATAGCTAAGTTCCAATGACATTTAACCAACTGGATGTTAATAATGTAAATTCTAACTGAACAAAGAAAAGTCATGTTATTGTTATGACTAACAAAGAAGAAGAATCAGATGTAAAGTGCAACTGCTTTGTGTTCCTAACTATGTTGTTGAAGTGTCAAAACAAAGAATTATCTAATTAAATTTTTCTCCATTTTCTCTTCAATTTTATAAACTCTGATAAATTTTTGATAGAGTTTAAAGTTGTTGGAAAGTCGATGACGAAAGCAACAACCAAGAAACCAGCAACAACGTTGAAGAAGACGCCAAAGCAAAATGAAAAGAAGGAAGAGGAAGTTTTTGTAGAGTTAGATAAGGAATTAAATGAAGTTAACGAAACAAAAAAATAATTATGTGATGTCAAATGAAGCCTCTTACTTAAAATTATTAACTGAAAAATTGAAACTTAAATGAAAGTGAAATTTTTTGAAGTTTTTTATTTGTACTCAAGAAATGAATTTAAAATGATGTTAGCAAGGGATGGACTAGGTTGAAGATTAGTTTTTTAAACTGAAGAGTTTTCAATCATCAATAGGAATTAAAATTCATGTCCATCCCTTACAAAAATTAACAAAACAAAGATGACAACAGAAGTAAAACTGAGTGAGAATGCATATAGACAATATATATTTTTATCATGAATAACTGAATATTTTATCATTTTCAACGAATTATTTTTTTATATAAGTTTTAGGACAAACAAAAAATTAAACGATGAAATATGACAAAAATAAAATTTTATGCTTTCTTATTTCTCTTTGTCCGATTTTTGAGTTTTTTTAAATGACGATGTAAAATAAAAAAATAAAAAAAGATATTGAAAATGAAAAGAATTTTTTAGAAACGAAGAAAAATATTTTAAAATGAAAAACGTGTGTGATCAATTTGTAAATAATTATTAAAAAATACCTAAAGAATTAAAAAAAGGAAGTTATGTCTTGGAAACAAGAAGAAATTAATTTAATTAAAAATATTGAATAATAAAAAATACGAGAAAAAGATTGAAGAATAATTTTATTGTTTTATGTTGTTTTTTAAACTTTTTCAGCAGATTTGATGGACCTTTTGCTGATTAAAAAAGAGTTTTCAGAAGATTGAATCAAAAATGTTAAAATTTTGCTTTTCAACTGTCTTTAGAAATTCATAAAATATCAATTTGCAACCAACTTCACGTCATTCAGAATTTGAAAAATATTTGTAACGAACTTTTTCATGTAAGATAATTATTTTCATAAAATCCTATTTTCTGTTTATAATAATCATAATTTCAGCATTTCACTTTATGCTAATTGACTTTCAATTATTTAGAATCTCCCTAAAACTATAAACTGTTTAAAAGTAAACTTATATTGTAACGGGGATTCTTATTTCGAATGATTCAAAATTTTATCGCGAGATAAATTTGAACAAAGACTAGTTTATCGGGTAGAAACCCAATGCGGATTATATTCACACCGTACTATCAAAAGTCTTATGGATAGACCAAGATTTGCACATCATAAGTATGAAGGTATGAAGCAGTATGAAGCTTGATAAGTCAACTGAGCTTCGCTCAGCATAAGTTTGAAGGTATAAAGCTTGACGAATATGCCAAACATTCTTTAAAACTTTAAAAAAAAAATTTCATGCAAAGTTGAATTTTATAAAAATCACAGTAAACTTTTATTTTAAAAAATTCGTAAGAAAGGAAAGTTTTTTGCTATTTCTGAAGCAACGGCTGTTCCTACCTTGCCCAAAAACAAAACAGCTCTTCTATAGAGCAGCACGGATCAAATGTAAAAAACTAGAAGTCTCTACGATGTCTCGTTATTAAGATTTCTTGCTGATTAACTTGCTTGTTTGCTTGCAGAAAGCGTATTTTGCGATTTTCTCAGCAATGCCACAACCAATTTGAAATCTGTTTTTTGAAAATGATGTAAAATTTCAGGCACAAACTTTTCTTCTTGACCTTTTATAACCAATTTTGCTTTGTTTTCTCACAAAATGCGTAAAACTGATTTTTCAATCTGAACATAACCAATACATTCACACGTGAAAACGGTGTGAATATGATAATTTTTATATTCACACCTTTTTCACGTGTGAATCTATTAAAATCTATGAAATTTTACATCATTTTCAAAAAACAGATTTCAAATTGGTTGTGGCATTGCTGAGAAAATCGCAAAATACGCTTTCTGTAAGCAAACAAGCAAGCAAGCAAGTTAATCAGCAAGAAATCTCAATAACGAGACATCGTAGAGACTTCTAGTTTTTTACATTTGATCCGTGCTGCTCTATAGAAGAGCTGTATTGTTTTTGGGGAAGGTAGGAACAGCCGTTGCTTCAGAAATAGCAAAAAACTTTCCTTTCTTACGAATTTTTTAAAACAAAAGTTTATTGTGATTTTTATAAATTCAACTTTGCATGAAATTTTTTTTTTAAAGTTTTAACGAATGTTTGGCATATTCGTCAAGCTTTATACCTTCAAACTAATGCTGAGCGAAGCTCAGCTGACTCGATAGCTTTCTGCTGTATTTAATTTAAAAATCGTGTTTTAATAGGTAAAATTTATCACCAAAACGCTGAAAGATATAAAGTCAATGACATTTAAGTGGAAACTGCTTAAAATTCGGCAAGAAAGCTTGTTAAAACTCAATGTTCAAAGGATTTTAAGGGATCGAAAGCAATTTCAAAAGAATAATTATCAGTCAAGGTTTAGTGCCGATACACTGCAAAGGAACTATGTAATTTGATATTCAGACAACAAAAATTCATTGTTAACGCTCCTGTCCATAGATGGAGCTCTAAAACTTGAAAAATTCAAATTTTAATTTATTATTTGAAAGATAGATGTCGTTAGGATATCGAAAATTTGATTGTTGATAACTGTGAGGATTAATAATGGATTTAAGCATGTTAAAAACATTGGTTGCCTTTAAATAATCTATAAATGAAGTTCAGAAGTCAGCATTTAAGGTCCTGAAAACTGAAAATATTAAAAATTCCTCACAAATCTAAGAATAATTCACTTATAAGCTCAAACATTGTAGCCTTCCAAAAAAGCAACTAGCAAAAATGTAAGAAGGTGAATAATTCCATTTTTTGAAGGATGTTCTTAACTTTTTTGATTATTATTGATGATTTTATTTATCAATAAAAAAGGATTTTTATTTTCTTACTTTTTTAAGTTTAATTTTTAATTTTTTCATCCTTTTTGTAATCTTTTCCTTAACTTTGTGTTTCAAACATTTCACAAAAAAATAAAATTTACATTTTTTTTTCAATTTATTTCAATATTTTCATTTGAAAAGTGAAAGAAAATTAGAAAATGAAATGCATTTTTGTTGTGTTTCTTGCCTTAAAATCTAAAGTACCATTTTTATATCATTACAAAAATTGTCTCTATTTTTACGTCCTTTTTTCATTAATTTTAATCATTTTTTCTTCTTAATTCATTTCTTCATTTTTAAGGTAAATTTGTTAATCACACCGAAATTTTCTTTCTCTGCCAAAATATATTTTTTCGTGATGGATTTTTGCTGCTTGTGTTGAGATTTTGCATTTTTGATAGCAGTCCTTGCTGGTTTCAGTTTGAAGCTATAAAGAAATTAAAAATAAGTCTTTGAAGTGAAACAGAAATTTAAAATTTAATCCTAGGGTAAAACAGCAAATTCAAAAGATTAAAGTTAAACCTTCAGATAATCAAAAGTCGAGAAAATTAAAATTTGATTTTATTGCTAGTTTGAAACTCAAAATTCAATTGATAATTTTGATTTCAAAAGTTCGTCAAAAATTTGAATTTCAAAAGTCCGTTAAAAATTTAAATTTTGAAAATCTGTTATAAATTCCAAAAAGCTATGCTGTTTTAAATTGAGAAAATTGCAGAATCATCTTGCTTATAGAAGAACTCATAACAAAATACTCCAAACTTTCAAAGCCATTCAACAATAAAGAATCAGCGAAAATCTCAGCACAGCAACTAAATCCAGTCATCTTACGTATTCCTTTTTCCTGTTTCTCTCGCGAGTTCCTACGTCTATAAACAAGTAAATTTCCATCATACGTCTAACATTCTCGCACACAATTTACATGAAGAAACCAAAAAAGAGTAAAATGATTTTTTTGTTGCAATTTTTTATGCTTTATTTTGCCATTTTTTGCAATAAATTGTTTTTCATATTCTTAAAAATACCACTTACAAAAAGAGAACATTTCTTTACTTTTATTTAAATTACTTTAATGTTAATTTCTTTATTTTCATCATCTTTTTTTCTTCAATTCTTTCTTCTTTTTTTGTTGTGTCAGAGGAGGGAGGGGGAGCTCAATTGAGGGAATATACGAAGATAATGTGGAAATTTTTATGTTTTTAAAATTCTTTTTTAAATGTTGAATGATACTGATTCTTCTTTATTTATTTATTTATTCATTTATATGCAACAATTTTACTTTCATGCTAAATTTAACTCAAGCTTTTTTGTGGGCTTAGAATATAAGAGAATTATGAGGAAAACGGGAAATTATTAAATGAATCTTTTAAAGCTTTATTGTTGTACATTTTAAAGTTTTGATTTAAAGAAAATATCTTTGAAAGTGTTCAAAATTTGAACTATTTAAGATCGTTAGAAAATTTCAACCGTATCAAAATTTGAACTTCAAAAATTCTTTAGAAGATAAGTTCAAAATTCAAATTAGGAAAGTTCGTTAAAAGGTAAGTTCGATTCTAATTCAAAATATAAATTTCAAAAAACCGTTAAACAATCAAAATACACAAAAGTTGAAACGTAGAAATTCGAACAAATTAAAGTTCCTTCAACAACATTTCCTTAATGATTTCTACAGAAAAAATCACAATATGGAAATAAAAAAATTTGTGAGAAATGAATTCGAATCAAAGCCACAAAATATTCATAATGAATTTTCCAAGAATCAATAGAAAGTTATGAAGCATGTTGGACATTCGATAGATTTAGGTGAGTTTGAAATTTAAGCACAAATTGGGAATTGATAAGGTCAAAGAAGTCATGGAAATGTAAAATTGTTGCATAATTAATTTCAAGATGAAGGTTTTGTGTTTAAATTTGTGAAAATGTTCTTCTTTTGGAATTGTTCATTTATTATTTAATTTCTTTCATATTTACAGAACTCTTTTATTTTTTTATTTTTTTTTCTTCCCTTCATTTGCTAAATTAGGTAATTAAAATTTTGTTGAATTGCGAAATAAGTTTTTAATTTTTTCAATTTTTTTGCTTTATTTTATTCATTTTTTTAATTTAAAGAGATTTATTTAATTATGCATGAATTATTTTTTACACATTTTTATTCCTCGGGAGCTTTTAAAAAAGTTTTTTTTATCTTTTTTTATTATTTTCACTCAAAAACGAATGTACAATTTACAAAATTATTAATTAGATATACTATAAAGTGTAAAGGTTTTTTTTTGATAACTGATAGATGAATGAGAGTGAGAGAGATAGATAGTGAAAATATTTAATGATTTTTATTCATTTTTTTTCTTGTGTTGAATTCGGTGAGTAACAAAAAATTTTTCTATTTTTTTAAAGAACTTATAAAGGTTTTTTCACTAAAGAAGAGACAAAAAATAATGATTAAGACTAAAAATATTAATTAATTAATCCTAATTCACGTGGAGCAATGTGTGTGTGTGTGTGTGTTTTTATATATTTATTGAGGATGCAAAGTCACAAATCTCACATTTTACAATAATTCTGTGCGATTTATGTTGCAAAAAAAATTATTTCATTTCTCATAAAAAACTAAACGCACTTAATTCACATTATTTCTTTTTCTTTATTAGGTAAGTTCATTAATTAAACTAAAATAAAAGTCAACAAGAAAAAAAATTCAGTTTTTTCTTTCTTTTTGTTTGTGATTTTCTTAAATTGCATTTTAAAAGGCTTAATTTCATTAATTTGTAATATACTTTAACAGAAACAGGTTTTGTAACACGCGCGGCGTATCGATGCAGTGTAAAAGACGGGACTTAAGACTTTTTGAATGTTCCTGGATTTAATTTTTTTGGCAAATTCGCAAGCAAATTTGCTACTTTTGAAATAAAAAATACTTTTAAATCTTGAAAACCCGTGGAAATTTCATAATTTAAAAGGTTCGTTGAAGTTTTGAACCTCAAAGTTTTTGAACCATTTGAGTTCTAAAAGTTCGTGAGAATTAAATTTTGAAAGACTGTTAAAAACTTTAAATTTAAAAAGTCCGTTAAGATTTAACTTTTCAAAAACCGTTAAAAATTCAAAAAAAATCCGTTGAAACTTCAAATCCAAGAACTTTCAAATAATCCCAATTCCCAAGATACAGAAATTACAATAAAAAAGTCACACAGTCACGGACATTGAATTCTGAAGAGAATAATAATAAAAATTAATTAAAGGATGAGGAGAAAGGATTAAATTGAATTTCAGCACTGCTTTCAACTGCTCTTTTTTTTGTTGTATAAAAAACTTAAAACTGCTTTCGTCCTCGTCTGATATTTGATTTTATTATTAAAAATAATAATAATTAAAAAAATCTAAATTTATTTATAAGATCATTTCAATTTTCTTTTTTTTTCTTTTTCAATCTATGTACAGTTTACAGAATCGAACGAGATGCGATGATTGCACAATTTCTGACGTGAGCATTTCTGTATTTGTCATATCATATCGATACTTCTATTTTTAAAAATATCTTCATGCATATTGGTCTAAATATGAATCATGAATGAATGTAGGCAGCCCATTGTTGCTGATAAATATGATTTCTCATGAAATTGAAGAGTATAAACTCGTTATCGGTTACTAAGGACTACATTATATAATTTCACATCATTTACTTTTTAATGGAAACAGCATTTATATAGATTCAAATTTTGTTTACCTCATTATTTCAGCTAAATTAAATGATTCGTGGAGAGCTATGTTGGTAGCATGTTGTATATGTAATCATTTAGGCGGTTTTGTGAACATTTTTAATCAATTTTAAAAAATTTCGCTAGAATTTCTATTTTTGAACGTTATTTTGCAATTTAAATTATGAAAATCCACAAAAAGTTTCTAAGAATCGGTTAAGTTTACTTCGAATCTTACTTTAAGTTCAAAAATTGAACCTTAAGTTCAAAAATTTAACCTTAAGTTCTACGGTTTTGTTAAAAAAATTTGAACTATGAAGTTTAGTTTGAATTTTAAAGGAGCGTTATTTTTTTTGAACTTTAAGCTTCATTTTGAATTTGAAAAGTTCGATAAAATTGAAAGAATTATTAATTTAAAGCCCAGTTCAATACACAATCTTCACCAACGAATCTCCATTTCTCAATAAGACAAAACCAACACGTTCAGTCAGAAACTGTGCAACAGAAACGTTTCATCCCTTCGTCAATTATCTTTACTATAATTAAATTTTACTTACAATATCTTAACAATTAAGAAATAAATCGATTTAATCAGTTAATCAGTTTCATATCATCTTAATTCACTTCACTTACTTTCATTACTTTTAATTCTGTAGGAAATGAGAAAAAAAATCTTTTTTTTTCTTCTTAAAACGTGGAAAGTTTTTTTTTACATCTCTCAATTAACCATAAATTGTAGCATTATGATTTTATTTTGTATCGCATAATTATCTCATATTGATTTCTAAAACAAAACTCAATTGCGAATCATCTATTAATCCCAATCAAGGGATCATCTTTATCGTCACGAATAAAATCAAAGTGAAAAGAGGTTTAGGAAGGAGAATTTAATTGAGCAGTGCCTCCATGTTGAAGCCATGATGTGTTGGTGTTGGCTGGTGATGAATTGGAGGCGGTAAAATTTGTGCTTGTGATACTTTTTGTTGTATGGGTCAATCGAGAATTACAACTTGTGGACCTTCAGGTGTTGAAGTATTATTTGAGAAATTATTATTCACTGATGTCTTTCGCCATGGTCTTCGTGCTAGTCTTCTTAATTCTGTTACTGATAAATTACGTCGTGATCGTCTGTAATTGAATGAGGTCTTTAATTAGACTACAGTCGTAAATTATCGGTGAAATTTGCATTACTTACTTATTGTTCTCTGTTGGTCGAAAGTAATAGTCATCGGGTGCATCCATCCAGCTTATTACTTGCTTACGGCCTGATCCTGACCGAGACATTTGAGCGATTTTAGGTTTTCCATTCATCTGTGGATTAATAATAATTTAACTTACAATCTTTGAGCCATTTAATGGATGAACTTACATGTGTTCTAGGTAACGGCTGTCCTGCGGCTTGGGCTGCTTCTATCATTGCAGCATACTGCTCTGGTGATGGTCGAAATGAGGGCATTGGATCTTTATTCGGTCGTTTTGTGGGTGGTGGTGCTACTGCGGCTATAAATGGCAATCAATCAATTAATACTCAAATTAAAATTAAGCAAAATGTTAAACTTACGATCAAGTCCATTTAATTCGTAGGCTCGTCGCTTTCCCGAAGGCGGAAGTGGCGCTGAGATGGGTGTCGCAGTCACTGAAGCAGGTAGATTTGGCAATGATTGTGGCATTCCAATATTCGATGGTGTGATTATTGTACAACCGATTGTGTTTGGTATTACAAACTTCTCCGGTTCTGGCGTTGCTTTGTTTGGAATTCGCTCGTATATTAGACTTCCGTCTGGTCCTTTCGGTGGTTTTGGGAATGCCACTTTCTCGGGCTTTGGCATCATATCTTTCGGTGTCAATTTCAACCATTCACAACCTGTTGTCGCTGGATTACCAAGACGATTCGCAATCAATGTCACACTGCCTCGATCCTTTTTCTTATACTTGAGGAAACTCTTAATGTCGGTTATGTTCACTTTTGTAATTGCAATTGCGACTATAATTGAGATTAATAGGAAGAAACAAATTATTAGCAACATGACAATAAGGCTAGCCATGCCAAAACTCACATTCATTCTTAACCGCTGTCAGACTAACAGCATATGATGGCTGTCTCGCCGCTTTCTTTGATTTGATCACATGCCGACACAATTTACGTGATAATTTTGTTGTAACGGTGGTTTGAAGATAAAAAGCTGAGCGCGTCTTCATAATGGGACGTGGTGAGTTTGATCGAATTGCAATTCCATGCGCTTGTGCATAATGTCTCGCTAAATGAGCTTTTAGCTTAAATTCCTTGCCGCAGTTGACATATGTGCATCTACAAATTATATTCATTAAGTTAATATATGAATAGATTTAAGAAAGAGTAAGGAATGCTCACTTGTTACTGCTCTGCCGATGTGCCTGCGTTACCTTCTCCTCATCCTCCAAAGTTTCAACTGGACGTTTCTTTAGTGCTTCAACATCATTTTCAGCTAATCGAGATGCTGCTGTTTTAAGGCCACCATATTTCTTCCAATAATTCCAACACGTCTGACATAATCGACAAGTGAGATGAGACGGTCCCCATGTATACCAATTCGCTGATGATGATGACGAACACGATTCACAAGGCTTGTTGCCTGTTAGTGCCAATATATCGTTGTTTCCATTCGCTGTTCCATTGAGTAAATTATTCTTGCTGTTGTTCGTAATCAATGCTGGACTGGGCTTTGTGTAGTTAGGAATGTAGACTTGCTTTAATTTTGATTCAGCCTCGACTGCTTTAACGCGCTTCTGTTGAACATAACGATCTGTCGTCTTCCACATATAATAGTATTCAACAATATTCTTTAGCGTCTTCCAGGGTAACTGTAAGTAAGCGTAAGCATATTTTTCTGCTATTTAAATGTTCTGCTAATAATATTTTGTATATCATATCATAATAATAAGAAATGTAAGTAAGGTGATTCTATATTCCCACATGAGAGAATATACTTTATGATAGGTACATATGTTCTCACTCACAAAGTCATTTCGAATATCATTAAAGTCTTTGCCATATTTATCGAGGGCCTCTTCAAAGAGATTTGCTTCACTTGCACTCCACTCTTCCATCTCGTCGCGACACAGCACTGGACCACTTGACGGTACGAGCGAACACATTGCCGTCTCAATTGAATAATTATGTTTATGTAACGTATCCATAGCATGAAACTAGATTGGGAATAAATAATAAGAATGGTGATTAATGTTGAACAAGAATCAAAGAGTCTAGAAGCACATACCAGTGTAATATCACGACTAGCAGCAGCTGCTGACATATGTAAGGACGGTTGCTTGACAGAACTGCTACAATCAAGGGCTCGTGCAAAGGTTCCCACAGATCTTGACACCACAAGAAATTGATCGATTTTCCTATCAGTCAAACTATGATGCGGCGTCCATATGAGTGTTTCTAGTTCCTCAATCTTTCGTCCATCCGTTTCATCATCTTTTAATAGGTGTTGAAGTTCTGTTTGATATCGACTACCTACACGAATTTCACCTTTGTCTGCTAAGAGAGTCTTTTGGGTTGGGTCGAAGACGAGACAATAGAAAAATGTGTCCTGTAATAGAGAAGCAGATCATGATTGATAAGTTCAGTGTGGATTGATGATAAAAATAAGGTAGCCCGAACAATACACAATAATTTCCAGTCAAAGGTTTTTCATCGCCAAAAATCGTATTGCTTCGAGCCATGAAAGGAGCTCATGGAATGTTCATACAGTACAACTACTCACGTCTTTATTTAAATAACTAAGCAATGATTCCTCTTCGTTGAGCAGCGTTACCGAGCACTTTCCTCGGATGTGTGTTGCAGGCAGGGTTTCAACTTGTCTCGATAAAAATAGCTCACGATGCTTCATCTGATGTTTCTGTTTATTTGATAATTCTGACTTATCTGTGCCATTGCTATTTGCATTGTTTCTCTGCTCCTCCTCGAGAGCGGCTATTAGATGGATATAAAATAATTAATTGTTAAATGTGTAACGAACAAAAAATCGAAAGTGAAAATGGAAATCGATGCGTTCAATAAATAAATATCACTCAAATTTATGCATTAATCATTCATTATTGAATTAATTAATCATTCAATTAATCACATACATGCACGAATACAATAACTGCTTTATTTACTCAATAAGTACGTTAAATGCTGCCAAATATTTTAATTCACGCATATTTTTTTTCTCATCATTCATACCGCTTACTGGACATAAAAAAAAGTTGGTTGATGAATGAGGATATGAATGGATAACCGCAAAAAGCATTAACATATTGCCACTTTTTTCAGAGCATTTTTTTTTTTTGAATAAAGTTGTGAGTTTTGTGACATTGTTGACTTTTAAAAGGACATAAAGCATTTATGGCATAGAATGAGCTGGAGTTATAGAAAGGTACACATAATGACGAAACGTTAGACAGACGAAGAAGCTTTCTAGTTATTCAGGAATCTAAGTTTGACGGCATCAAATCAGATTGACTGCTCCAGGTAGTTTAGTACTTTGGTATAGGACCAAATTGTGTAATGCTAATATTTCTAGTGTAGTCACACAACTCAAGTAACTTTCCAAACTTAATCAAAACTCTCAATTCTTTAATTTATCCACCAATCTTAATACTGTATTTATAAAATTAAATTCTAGATTAAATTATTTTTATCTTAAGGATGACACACGTGAAAGCTTAAAACCACAGATATCACAAGATATTATATTTTAAGTCTAAGTAAATGTTTGTTATCAATATGAATTGGATCAAAATATTTGTCATAGCAACATCTAGTCATAAAAACTCTTTGGTAAGTAGGGTGACCATCTAGTTTTTATGAAAATACAGGACGTTTGATAAATTTCCTAAAAAATACAGGACACAAAGGAAAATTTAAAAATTAACGGAAATTTTCGTGAAAAAAATACAGGACCTGGAACAACATTTTCAAATTTATACAGGACAGGGTTTTGAAATACAGGACTGTCCGTTGTAAAACTACGCAGATGGTCACCCTAATGGTAAGTCTATTGTTGGCAAGAAGAAGCAGCAAGATTTAATTTCCATTAAGGAATAGTTTCGATACAAATCATCCATCACCTAGCCACAATCCTCATTTCTAGGAAAGGGTATATAAAGCTTAAACTAGAAATGTTGCAAATTCGCGTCAAATTTTAGCTACATCCGTCTAAACTTGATTTTTTATGGCTACCCAATTAGAGTTTGTTATTGTTACATATGAAGAGACTTGAATAAGTCTGCAGCTGAAGATGGTTGTGTCTCCTTTGCAGTTGCAGCTATACAAACACTTTTTGATATAGCATTTGTGTTGCATCTTAAGAAATTGATCAGCACTTAAGACATTAGCACTCCATTCCTGACTTCAAACCCATCAAACATTCGAAAACCATACATTAATCATATCAAACCCCCTAGAAATTGCACCTTTTAACAAATTAATAGCTCTTCATCACCAACAATGCGCGTCCCATATGTTAAAATCAAAAATAATTCATTAACTTTTTTTTTGTTTTAAAAAAAACATTCTCGATCTGGATGTTTATATGTGTGACACCGCAGCTTTTTTTCATGACTTATTTCATTTTTTATGAATTTATCAGAAAAAAATGAAATAATTTTTTATATTTAAATAAATAAAAAATGAAAAAAAAAGTGAAAATCGTTGTGTTGTTGATAACTTATAGGCCAATTATGTGAGGTAAAATGCATTTTCGGATATATGGGAATTTTTTTTTCGGTTGTTGAATGTTGATTCCAAAGCCGTAGATGAATGAAAATGAATGAGAGTGAAAAAAAAGTGAAAAAACCGTAAATTTGATAAAAATTAAAATCACGTAATAATTTTTTTTTGTGTTTTTTCACGGCTACACACTTATATACATAAAAAAGCACTCTCGTTGACACCTGATGAACTCGTATATACACGTAAATATTTGTTTGATGGACAAGAGGATTATATGGTCCTATAAGTGAATTTATAAAAGGCATTTAATGAGCTTTTGTGGAAGTTAATTCTGTTGTTGTTTAATTAAGACATGTTAATTGTGAATCTTTGTGTATTGAGGTCATTATTTGCAGCGGAACTGATTGATGCACTGTTATTGAGCTTAGCTTAGTGTTTATTTTAATTTATTGGGTTGGATGTAAATCGTTTAAACTTAGATAATAAATTTTGAAGTTTGGGGCTGTTCACTTATTACGTAACGCAAAAAAAATGACTTCTTAGACCCCCCCCCCCCTCGTAACAAAATTTGTATGAAAAAAAAATTTCCCTGTTTGAACCGTAACAAAATCTTAGACCCCCCCTCCCCCTAAAAGCGTTACGTAATAAGTGAATGGCCCCTTTAAACAATTTCAATTTAATTTAATCTTGTGTAGGCATTAAAATTTGACAGATTCAAAGAACTTTTTGGGTGTTTTCAAATAGATTTATCAATGAGATATCCAAAAATACTGTTGGATCTGTAAACTAGTTCGAAAGGACTTATTATTAACTATCTTAGTCACTTTTCCCACGTTTTTTGAATAGCTTAAAGATAATCAAGTGATAATAAGATTTAAACTGACGAGGGAGGAACTGTGTGTCTTCAATGTGCCTTAACAGCGGTGGTGTTTTAACGACAGCCTTGCCCCAGATCCACATTAAGTCACTTTCTCGACAATTTCAACCTAATTGTTATTCAGACTAAGGACCATCCCTTTCTATGCTTAGCTTAGACTCTACTAACATTATTTGTTCCATAGATACTGCTATGAACATGGGCAGTAGCTCTACATCCACAAATAACTTTTATATTGACTTCATAGAAAGCCCAAACTTTTAAAAACAAATTCCTCGTCATCTTCAACCTCTAATTCATCTACTCTAAATAATTAATATCATATCTCCATTAGAGCTATAGACATCCACAATATCACATCCAATTCTGAATAATGAAAAGTTCAACATCTCTAAAAAATAATTTACGAAATGAACATTGAATATTTATGTCCAATAATTGACGACTGATTCCGTTAATGGACATATGAAACATCATATATACAATATGCATTAAGTACTCTCTAGAGGATTTGCATCCGTATACAAATTTTCCAATTTTACGTTTTAAAGGTATTGGTGGAATTGCCACAAGCAGGATAAGAGCAAAAAAATAGTATTTTGAATTCATTAATTTATTTAAATGAGCGAATGAAACTGTAAAAGCCTCTCGGCTATGTGTTTCATCAGTTTATTACTAAAGAGTCATTAATAATCAACGACCACTCCAAGTTTTTCATTTTTTTCCCTGCCATGAAAATGCTTTTTCGCTGGTACCGATCAGAGAAGGTATAGCTTACAATATACATATATTTTTAAATGTAATATGCTGATAGTTTAATACTAAAAGCATAAAGTTCTTTTGGATAATTTTTATATGGATATTGAATTCAAGCTGATATCAGTTTCCTAGATTTTTGTCAAGAGCTTATTTGTGGCGAATTGTTTGATCGAGTGATGAACTTTTGTGATGAATCTATCTGGATAACAATATTTGAATTGAATGTTAGTGTTTTAGGGATTTTAGTGGCCATACTTAACATGATAGGAAAAAAGATTTGACTGGAAATTACTAAGATTTGACCATAAAATCGTTACCAGAGCACCACTTTAGACCAATTATAATGATTTGACCACAAAATCGTTACCAGAGCACCACTTTAGACTATTTCTAATGATTTAACCACAAAATCGTCACCAACACACGACTTTTAACATTCTTTGCTTTTATGACCACAACATCGTTACCAACACACGACTTTTGATAATTCTCAAAATTTGACCACAAAATCGTTACCAACACACGACTTTTAACAACCCAAAAGGTGATAGCTGTGTCAGTTTTAGGAATAGAGCCAAATAATTATACTTATAGGTCCTAAAATCATAATCTTCATCGCAGTTGATTATTTCTCAAAGAAGATTCATCTTTCCACAAGAAAACTCTTTGTTCCAACAATTAAAATCCACAAAAATCTAAACAGAGATCAAAATGAAGAGATAATTGACAAAACAACAAAGCTCTTTACTTTTCTGCATCCTATTAACTTCAATTCCACGAAGAAAAAGCTTAAATTCAAAAAGCAATTTAAAGTACAAAGTATTGAACTTTCGAGTAGTTTTCGAAAAAAAGCATTCAAAGCAATACAAAGAAGGAAGCTCCTTTGAGTTCTTATGAAGTAAAAAAAAAAGAAAATTTAAATCCCAGACAAACATTACTAAAGCTTTAACAATTCCACTTCGACACAAAAAAAAAGTAACTCAGAAACTGCAAATTGCAATTTCCTTTCAATACAGTCACAGTTCGAAAAATAATGGAGAATCTAACTCTCAATTTTAAATGTGAAATTTATGTATAAAATATAGAAACAACATGGGAAAATATCCTTTTTGCATATTTTTCTTTCATCGCACATTTTTTTTTTAACGTTACTGAGTTTGAGTTTCGCCGTCGAATTGCAATTTGTGTATTGCAGCCGAAAGCTACAAAAGCGAGAGATTTTTTTTTTGTATATTTTCGGTGCTACATTCCTCGATAAAAAGCAAGGGCAATAACAACATCAGCAGCCCTCTTTCCTTTATTATGGGAGAAAAATAGCAGGCAAAATTATATCATATATGCATGCATGTATATTGTGTGTATGCATAAACTTTGATGCAATGCAATATTCACAAAAACAGAACATAAATTTTTCGATATTATTTTATAGTTCCATTGTACGCGAGGGAGTTGAAGTGTTTGCTATTTTGCAGCATCATTGTGCATGATGATAGTTTTTTTGAAGAGTAGAATGAGAGAACTAGGAAGAAATTTCTCATGGTATATGAAAATTCATGTACAACATTGCATCCGATTGAATATGAGCTTTTTTTAGAGGATATAGATGAGGATGAGGGGT